ATCGAATTTGGGTCCCTGAGCTTGCCAGGTGGGTGCTTATATCTCCCAGCCCCAAATCTGCTCAACAGATTGTTTTCACCTAGGGACAGAAGCCACTAAAAATGTTCTGATTGAGAGGCTTGCCACTAATATAATCAAGGAGAATTCAAGCTGTTGTCAGTCTTTAAGAAATTTGACTTTAAGTCAGGTAATTTTAAATTGAATGTGGCCATTTGCAATAAAGATGAACTGTCTTTGCCAAATGCCAGTACAATAGGTTTGGTGAAGTTGGCTCATATTGAAGATTTACCGAGAGGAGAGAAGGGGTTGAGATTTAGGCCGTGCTTACCAGCAGACAACTGCTTTGGCATCCCAACTGGAACTCCACATGCACTTCCACCCTGATGGGCCTTCCAGCTGCTACAGTCCTCCTCTTGCCCATGAGCTTAGCTGCCACTCTTGGTGAACCTTTCACAGCCCAAGTCCCTCTCATCTCAGGTTTGATGCTCCAGAACTAGTTTTTATTATTTATTTATTTATTTATTTTTTTTTTTTTGCAGAACCAGGGATTGAACTCAGATCCTTGCGTTTGCCAGTCAAGCACTTATCCTACTGAGTCATCTCCCTGGCCCCAACATTAGATCATCTCTAAAATTCCCTGCAGTACCAAGGATCAAACTCAGGACCTTGTGTTTGCCAGGCAGGGATTTATGCCATAGAGCCATAACTGAAACAGGTTTTCTAGGATGATCCCACTTAGTTAAAAAAACACCTGGGCATGATGTCGCATACTTGTACTCCCAGCACTTAAGAAGCTGATTTTTTTCTTTCTTTTTTGTGGTACTGGGGATTAAACTCAGTATCCTGCACTTGTCAGGCAAGATTTTTCTTTTTTTAAAAGATAGGTCATTGCTATCTGTTTATCAATAAAATTATGAAAAGAAAAAAAAAAGATAGGGTTGTCTTCTGAATACGGGCTGCTTGTCATGACATGCCAGTTGCTGCTGTGCTGTCTCTCGGGTAGATGATTGTTCAAAAAGGGGGTGGTGAATGAAGGCAAGAGATAGGAAAAGGAATATTGTGGGACTGTCCTGCTTCAAGGTTGCATATGGTTAGATTTTTGGACTTATGTGTAAACATAAG